AGAAAGTCTGAGGAGACCAACGCAGCTATAGTTCACTAAAACAATTTTATCATATATGACATATGATTAAATTGATAGACATGAAAGATGTAAAGATGATTTAGAAATAAAATTTCTAGAGATGAAAACGACAATATCTAAGATGAAATATACACTGGACGGGATTAATGACAGATTAGACACTGAAAAAAAAGATTAGTAAAATTAAAGACATGAAAACGGAAATTATTAAAAATAAAACCGAAAAAAAGGAATGGGGAAAAATGAAAACATTGATGCCCTGGGGTCAACTTACAGCAATCTGAAAATGGGCAATTGGATTTCTCAAAGGAAAGAAGAGTGAGGGAAAAAACTGGAAGAAATAATGACTAAAAACTTAACCAAACACGATGTAAACTAAACCCACAGATCTGAGCTCAACAAACCCGCAGCACAAGATTCATGAGGAAATCCACACCAAGGCACAACATAATCAAACTGCTTAAAACCAATGTAAAAGAGAAAAATCTAAAAAGCAGCCAGAGAAAAAAGACACATTAAAAACAAAGATGGGTAACATCAGATTTCTCATCAGAAACAATAGAGCAAGACACTGGCAAAACATCTTTAAAGTATTGAAAGAAAAAAAAGTCAACCTAGAATTTTATACATGGCAAAAGTATCTTTTGAAAACCAAGGCTAAATAAAAATGTTTTCAGACATACAAAAAGTGAAAAATTTCTTCACCAAAACCTATACAACAAGAAATATTAAAAGTCCTTCAGGCAAATTATACAGATAAAATTATACAGATAAAAATATGGATCTACACACTTTGTAAACTATGTAAATGTCTAGTCACTATGCTGTACACTGAAGCTAATATAATATTGAATGTCAACTGCAACTAAAAAATTAAAAAATAAAATTCTAAATACGGGTCTACATAAAGAAATGAGGAGCACCAGAAATGGCGACTATAGGAGAAATGTGTAAGATTTTTATGTATCATCTACACCTCTTTATTAGATAATTAACTATTTAAACTAAAATAATAATAATGTACTGTGAATTTATAATAATACATAAAAGTAAAATTCATGACAACAATAGCATAAAGCCCAGGAAAGAAATGGAAGTATGCCATTGTAACGGTCTTATAAAACATGTAAAGTGGTGTAGTATCATTTGAATATATCATGTTATAAGTTAAAGCTGTATACTTAAACCCTAAAGCAACCACTAAAATAACAAAACAAAGAGCTATAGCTAATAAGCCAACAAAGGTGATAATGTACATTAATTAAAAAAATAATCCAAAAGAAGGCAGTAAAGTGGGAAAATTCCATTTTCCCAAAGACTAGATAGGACAAACAGAATACCAATAGCAAGATAAAAGACCCAAACCCAACAAAATCAATAATTACATTAAATGTAAACAGTCTAATTAAAAGATATTGTCAGATTGAATAAAAAAGCAAGACCCAACTATTTCTGCCAATAAGAAATGCATGTTAAATACTAAGACACCAAGAGGCTAAAAGTAAAAAGATGGAAATATATATATATTTATATATAAACAAAATGGTAACAATCAAAAGAAAGCTGAGGTGACTATTTTAATATCAGTAGATGTCAGAGTAAAGACTATCGCCAAGGATAAAGAAGGTTATTTCATAATGATAAAGGTCAGTTTATTAAGAGAACACAATAATCAATGATATTTATGCAACATAACAGCTTCAAAAACAGGAAACAAAAACTGATAGAACTGTAAGGAAAAATAGAAAAATCTACAATTATAGTCAGATTTCAATATCCTTCTCTCATACAAGAATGAACTCAAAGTAATTATGCTGAGTAAAAGAAGTCAGACAAAGTACATATTGCATAATTCCATGAATATAAAACTCTGGAAAATGCAAACTAATATATAGTGACAGAAAGAACACAAGTAGTTGCTTATGGATTGAAGGAGACATGGGAAGGAACAGAGGACTGGTTACAGAAGGATACAGGGAACTTTGGGGGATGATAGCTAAGTTTAATATCTTGATTATAGTGACAACTTCATGAGCGTATACATGTGTCAAAATTTGCCAAACTATACACTTAAATACATGCAGTTTATTGTCAATTATATCTCTATAAAGCTGTTTAATATGTGTAATATAAAATAATTTACTGTTCATTAGGCCCTAGAAATAAAGCACCGAAAAAGATGGACACCGGACCCATCAGTATAGAACTAATAGTCTTAGCAGAGAAAACAAACACCGAATGCTATAAAGTTTGATAGTCTATAGGAAAGTGAAGTACAGATCCTAATACGTACCGATTCTATAGCATAGATTCTAACGAGGTAATCAAGAAAGGAGTCTCTCATGTAAAGTAACATATAAACCAAGATAAAAGAATGGAGTACGAGTCTACGGCCATGCCACCCTGAACAAGCCCGATCTCGGCTGATCTTGGAAGCTAAGCAGGGTTGGGCCTGGTTAGTACTTGGATGGGAGACCACCTAGGAAGACCAGGTACTGTAGGCGTAAAAAATAAAAAATAAGGGATTGTAAGCTGACAAGGTCTTTGCAATCTGTGAGGTCAACCAAAGGTTGCCTCACACTCACTCACACACACACACGCACGCACACACACACACACACACACAAAGAATAGAGTATGAATTAGCTAAGTGAAATATAGAGGGAAAATATAAACAAAGACATTTACTGAATAAATGAAAATGTCTATGTTACAGGAAAAAATTACCTGTAAGATAAATGCCCAGAAATGGAATTGCTGGGTCAAAGGGCAATTAGAATTTATTTTTTTTAAAAAGGGGGTTTTTTGCTTCGTTCATTGGAATAAAAAAAGACGAAGTGACATTTACCGTTTATGTAGAGAGGGAATTTTGGAACAATTTAATAACATTATTTAAGACAAGAGAATAAACCTCAGTGCTCTTTGAGACCAGAAATGTCTTCATTCTCACATCCTAAAGTTTCACACACCAGAGGTGCTCACTAGCAGTTTGCTGAGGACAATAGGACAACAGCGAATTTATTTCAAGCAGTAGCTTGAAAAAGTGCTTGTGCAATGCTACTTGTCTCTTGGAATAAGCCTGGCTATAGAATGAGAGACTATATGCAGGAGAGCTAAGTAGGGACCACTGAAATAATCTTAAACCAGTCTATAGCCAGAGAACCCCCAAATATATGAGGTAGTCCAGCCGAGACTACAAGAACCACGTAGCAAATCCACAACTCAACAAAGATGCACAAACAAGCCTAAGCCAAGTTGTAGCAAATCCACAACTCAACAAAGATGCACAAACAAGCCTAAGCCACAACTAGATGAACCACCTACCCGACCTGTAGACTTAAGAACAATAACTGCTTATTGTTTTGAGCCACTGAGTTTTGGGGTTTTTTTGTTGTTGTTGTTAATGCATAAACTAACTACACATGGTGGTGCCATTTACTGACATAGGGTGAGACAAGGAAAGAAAAGGAATGGAATGAAAAACTAAGCTCAATTTATCTTACTCTGGTCAACTCTTAACCTTCCTTCAAAGCTCAACTTAGGTATCAACTCCACCGGGAAGTTTTCCCAGACCCCCACACCGGTTTGGAAAGATATTTAAGTACTACCATTATGTTTTGTACATATCCTGATCACTGCCTTACCGCATTGCTTTATAATTAACTGTTTACATTTTTTTTCCCAACAAGACCATTGAACCTTGTTACAGACTATGACAACATAAGATAGACTTCTAAAAGATGTTTCTGAATTTTATAAATGAATTAGACACTACTTATTCGATATTATAAAATCTCTTAATTCTAGATCAGTATTTCGCAAAGTGTGATACACTGACAACATGTATCAGAATCAGCGGGAGTGTGCATTAAAAATGCAAATCTCTGGACTTTTTATGATTAATTAAAATGCCATTCTTTCCTTTGTAAAAAGAAGGATGAATATTCTGGCCAGCTACAGATAAACAAAACAAGTAGAAGTATCGGTACGAAAACGATCTTTTCCTCAAAATTTTCCAAAGATGTCCTCTACAATAGTCCTGAGTCTGATAGCACCCAAGTAACTGAAAATGCTCTGAACTGCAACCAAGTTTCTGTTTTAAAAACTGGGTCTCAGCCGGAAGAGACGAGAGCTGGGGGTCCTCCAAGGAGGTGTGGCTTCTCAACGTACACGTTTACAGAGAATGACCGGGGGAAAGCAAGTTCTGAGCTTTTCCCACAGCAAGGACCACGCCAGGGACGGAAAGGCGGCCGGAGCCCAAGAACCACCCGCGTGCCGGACACCGCAGCCCTGGCGGTCCAGCCGAGGACCGGCCCGTGGTGGTCCCTTCTACATAAGAACCGCGAGAAGGTGGCTCCCGTGGAGTTCCGGGATGGGAGTCCTTCTCCAGAGATCGCCACCTTATGTCCACCCCTGCCCGAGGAGCCGTGAGAAAGGCCTCAGTCGCCTTGCTTGCCGGAGTCAGAAAGGAAGAAAATGCGGGGAGGGTCGGGCCAAAGGCATCTGAAAGGGGAAAGGGGCAGAGTGCGAGGGGTCACCGCCGCTTCCCACCTGCGTCAAGCTCCAGCTGGTAAGAGGGCAGAGGCTCGAGGGAAAGTTTGTAACCCTCGAATCGGGGATCCAACAGAGGTCTCTTCACCCGCAGGGAGCAATTAGCGGCCACCTCCATCATCTTCCAGGGTCCACGCGTGAGAATTAATAAAGCTCTTGTTGAAAGGTCCGCGCTTCACTCGTAACACGGAGGATGGGAGGCGGTGCGGTCCCATCCCAGATAACATTGCGGTGCAAAATGCCTTCTGGGAAATGTAGTGCCCCTGCGAAAGTTGGCTCTGTTGCATGCTGGGCTATGTAGTTTTCCGAGGACGAACTGCTCGCACGACAATAGGATCTGGACTCTCTTGCCCAGAGTGCTGAGCGGCCAGGAGGCGGCCCGCGCTGGTTAAATTCTCACATTATAGGCAGGGTGGCAAGATCCCGCCCCGGAAATGCGTGTTCTAGCTTTCTGTGTGCTTAGGTGCCCGAGCTACTGAGGGTCTAAGTCTGGGCAGCCGAAGAGTGTGGTAGGTAACGGTCGTCAGCGCAAGGGTCATTTCGTCGCTGGGAAGGGACGGCCCTCGCCCGCGGTGATGGTGGTGAGCTATGCCCGTGGTCCTCAGGGCCGGGACCCGGGCCCAGCCCAGGCTCCTTTCGATGTGCTGTCTTTCGTTAGCTTCCCCGACCCGCGCTCGCGGGCCTGTAGGGCTTTCCGACAGGGCGTGCTACCGGAGTTGGCCTGAAGCCAGTCCTCGCTTTGTTTTCTGGCTCCTCCCCTCCCCCTGTCTCCGCCCTGTTCTGTTTTCCCAAAGAATGTCTGAACTGGGAGGGATACCCTAGCGCCCTTGTTTTACCAGTGAGAAAACTGAGGCCTTTAAGAATTGACTTGTCCAAGGTCACTATCCGTATTTTAAGGGCCAAGGCAAGATCAAGTTCAATATTCTAGTAATGGTAGTCAGTAGACCTTAGAATTTTTGAAAATGTTAGTCTCCAACTGCAGAAGCAAACATTTCCCAGTCCTTTTTCAACCTCTCCTTTTTCCTGTTCCACTCAAAAAAAAAAAAAAAAAAAATCAACTCTGAAGAACTCATTGCCAGTCTGAGCTTTCATATAGGCAAGATGAGAGACAAAACTAGTCTCGAGTTAGTGACAGACGAAGCGAAGTAAGGTTGGCTTATCCCAAGTGTTATACCCTAATCTTCCTCTTCTTTCTACACCATTTTGGTTTTGGTTGTCTGTTTTACTGAAAGTTGAGGATTTTCTAAGTTAGGAATTAGTTTGGGATTTGTTTTCCCCTTATCCCACCAGCAAACTTTAATAAAGAGCAAACACAAACATACTTACAGGTAATTTGGCAGTTGTAATTCAGATACATCTTAGTGAAAAGTAAAGCACTTAGAGCCTTATCTGGAAAATTCATTTTTCACTAACATTGCTTAATCTATTATTGATATTGAGGTTATATGGCTTCCCCAAAATTTTGAACACAGTTAACATGTAGAAATGATTAGCAGCCAGTTATGATGTGCTGTTAAAGTGTTCGGGTGCTTATGGGGTCAAAGTACCAAATTCAAATCCTGCCTTCACCACTTTCTGTCTCAGTGCCTCAGTTTCCTCATCTGTAAAATACAAATTATGTTAATACATAAAAGAATAAGTTTTGGGGGTTGAGATAAAAAACCAATGTTTTAGCCCAGTACCAAGCACATAAGTGTTTAATAAATGTTACAATAATTATTATGCAAAGATTCATTGATAAAAGGGTATATGGGAGAAGAAAATGGTAAAGTGAGTTCATCAGTATGACTTCTTGGGATGCAGTAATGACATTGTTAACACATTGTTGAAATTTATCACCCCTTTAGTTGATAGACAGAGTGTTAAATGTGTTGGGATGCTTGCCTAGAGGATTTAGGAAAAAAATGCTTTGCAAGTGTTTTGTATCTGAAAATACATGTTGATGTTCAGGTTAGCAAGATGAACAAAGATGCGCAGATGAGAGCAGCGATTAACCAAAAGTTGATAGAAACTGGAGAAAGAGAACGGTAAGTAATAGACTGTGTTAATAAATTACATTTAACACCTTCAAATTATAATTACATTATATATAAGAATCTAAATATCAAGGAACAAAACCAATGTTAATGGAAAGAATTACAGAAAGTAGAGAATTGAAAGCTTCAGTTCCTAACATCTATAAAAAATAGGTCTGTTCAATACTGCAAGACTTAGAAGAAAGTGGGTAATATAGGAAGATGAACAAGAAATGACTCTCTCAAATTATGTATAGTAGAGAAGAAAAATGCCCAAATAACTATAATTGGAGACATGTTACCCAGGTTTCAGTTACCAAGCTCTCTCAACCTCAGTAGCATGTATTGTTCCTATTCTCTGAAACATTCCTCTTTCTTACCGTAAACTTTAGCTAATTCTAGCTCATCATTCAGGTCTTAATTTAAATATTTCTTCCAGGTATCTGCTAAGCCCCAAATACCTTGTTCTAGCATAGCATTTAATCACCTTTTGTGACCACCCACTTTTCTAATTTGTATCTTCCAAAATAATATAAATTCCTTGGCAGCAGATACCCAGTATAATGCATAGCACTTAATTGCATAGCAAGTAAATATTTGAAAAATGAACAGGTTTGGAAGTTCAAAGGAGAGCCTAAGGAATCAAGAAAGGCTTCCAGAAGCAAGGTGATACATAGTATGAGAGAAATATATGTAAGGAACAGGAGGGATTTTTCAACTCTACTTGAGGGTTTTGGTGATCAGTTAAGGCCTCACAGAATAGTAAAAGAGGTACCTCAGCTGGGGGAGAAGTAGCAGTTCTCCAAGCCAATAAAGTAAAGAAGACAATCTAGGCAGATTGAACAGAATGTGCAAAATCACAGAGCTTTATTATGACATGATAATATTCCGGGGAACTGCAAAATAAAAGCTGGAGGGTAAAGGGTCAAAGCTGTGTGGCTGGAACAGGGGACAAGAGGGGTGTGGATTTTGTATGAGTCATAATTTTTTCAATAAAAATGATAGAAACTGAACTTAGAAACTGGCTTAACCAATTGAAATACATAAACTCATCTAACTAAAAAGTCTAGAACTTGAGATTGCTTCAGGCATCACTGGGTCCAGGCACTTGAAAATTGTTGTCAACACTAGTTTCCTCTGTGTTGGCTTTATTCTCAAGCAGGATCTGCACACAAGGTAGCAGAATTAGTACAAAATTTACATCCCTTGGGCTCAGACTACTCTCTTAGTAGTTTCAGCAAAAGACCTAGCTTGATTACCATCTTACTTAGGTAGCAGTCCAGTTACAGTCACCCTTGGCTGGGTCACATTTCTATTGCTAGAACTCTACCCAAATATCTTACACTGAGAGTGGTGAAATTTTTTTTTTTTTTCCCTGACAAAAAAGGCCAGGAAAATGGGTGGTGGGTTTGTAAAAACATCTGTTGTTGAGTTATCCATTGTGGGAGCCATTAAAAGATTTTCAGGAGGGGAATGACTAAATCACTTCGCACTTTAAGAATGTTATTCTGGCAGTGTGGAGGATAGACTGGAAGTGCTGAGATAGAATGCAAAAGAATTGTTAGATTATATTGGGTTAAAAAAGAGAAACAGCGAAATGGAAAGAAGAACTTACAGGGTTGTTTTGTTTCGTTTTGTTTTTAGTAAAATTCAGCAGTGTGAAGAATGAGGAAGAAGGTGGAATCTAGAGCAGGGCCTTGGGAGGCTGAGAGGATAGCATTGCCAGTAATGAGTATAAGGGATTATGTATTGTTTTTGTGTGTTTTCATTCATGCAGCTTAGTTAACTGCGTTTCTACCACATGCCATGCCCTGTTAAGGTGCTGAAGTTACAGTAGTGAGCAGCATGAAGTCTGTTCTTTCATGAGGCTTACATTCTAATGGGAGGAAACAGACAATAAATGTGTAATATGTCAGATGGTGAGTCCTAGAACAAAAATAAAGCAGAGAATAATGGGATATCTTATTTTGGATAGGGAAAACAAAAAAGCACACAGCTAGGGAGGGGCAATTCATGGAGAGTCATTTAGACTGTAGTGAAGACTCGGAATTTTATTCTAAGGAAATTGGGAAGCCACTGGAGGATGGAACCTATTCCAAGTAAATTAGAGAGCCACTGGAGGGTTTTGAGCAGTGGGAGGAGCATGGACATGTATAAGGGAAGAAGCAGCGGGGCAAGGTGGGAGGCTCTGGCAACAATGCAGTCAAGACAGGATGGTGGCTTGAGCTAGGGGATGGCAGAGATGGCAGAGATGAAAACCTTTTGGATTGTAGGTGTATATTTTAAAACTGGAACCAATAGGATTTGCTCATGGATTGGATATGTAGTTTTAACAAAGTTGCTGAGTGAAGGGCACTGCCAAGGTTTCCAGCCTGAGGAACTGGAAGAATGGTGTTGCCATTGTGACAAAGAGAACAGGTTGAGGTGGGAGAGAAGCATGAGTTAGGTTTGGGCCCTGTTAGATTGAAAGATCTAATTAGTATTGCAGTGGAAATGTCACATAGTAGAAGTATAGGAGGTTTGAGAGAAGTCGTTTGGGTTATGACATGTTTAAGCTAAGAAATGAGATGATTTAAGTTGAAGACTGAGGATTTGGAAAAGTGGATATGGCAAAAGAATAAGAAAGTACTGATAAGAAAATATTTTATTGCATTCATGGTTGCAAAATACACTTTTTTTTAAACCAGTAAGAAACAAGAAAACACTGCCAAGTAAAATTATAAGTATGCTTATTACTGAATTGTTAAAATGTGGAAAAAAATAGTGTTAGATTCAATGAAATATACTTAATGTATAATTTTGAAGGTTAATGGAATAAGGAAGGGGAAAGTCTTTGAAGTTAAGAGATATAATGGGGAAGTAAGAAAGCTAAAGGATAAGAATTTGTAATCAAGAGATGTTGCTGCTCCAAGTTCAGCTATACCTTCCAGAAGTTGTGTGAGACCTACAATATTCCTACTGGTGGGGGGAAGTGGAAGGTGCATAAGAAGGCCAGAATAGAGTTCTCTTGAAAAGCACTGTGCCGCATCCACTTCATTTTATTTTACTGATAATGAAAATTAGGCCCAGAGTTGAAATGATTAGCATAAGATCAAAGAACTATTTAAATGATTTAGTAATAGAACTAAGTAACACCATGATGAAAGTTTTGTGATTGGAAGGCGGGAGATTTTTAATTGAACAGTTGAATCTTTGCTTCAAACATTCCTATATAAGATATTATACATTGTTGTAGTTTAATTTGAAAATACTTCTTTTTCAACAGCCTCAAAGAGTTGCTGAGAGCTAAATTAATTGAATGTGGCTGGAAGGATCAACTGAAGGCTCACTGTAAAGGTAATCAGTTTCATGTAGAAGATAGGCTAATTCCGTCATTCTCAACTGTGTTGGTTTGGGCTTCACTAGAAAAATTACAGTCAGTGTTTTAAGGTACATTGAGTGCTTAGACCTAATTTTTAACAAATGGAAAATTGACTCTTGTAGTAATGATTTCCTTCCCTGCGTGATAATATTTAGACCTAATTCTTAAATTTTTAGAAATTTTCTCTGTTTTGCTGTTAAAGCCAGTGAGGCCGGATTTCCTCTGGCTTCAAAATACGGAATCCCACCTTGTTCAGTGTGCCAGTTCAAAGCGAAACATTAGTTATCCCTAATATTTTTTAATTTAATAACAAATTGAGTACTTTATCAGACTTATTGGAATTTAATCTGTCTTTAACAGTGTTCTTTTGAAAAATTCATTTTTAAAAGCTCTTGGAGAATCACACTTATTTTTTAAAATGTTAGAATGGAAGCTTGTTAAGTTAGTGAATGCTGCTGCTGATGCCATGAGATAGATTACGCATGCCGCAGCTTTTAGTATAATGGCATTCTGGTTATTTTTAATGAATTCCCATTGTTTTAATGGTTTCTACAAATGATAATAATAGAGACTATATCATTTAACCCTAAGAAGGCAATGTGACCAATTAGTAAAAGCATAGACTTTGGGGTCATGCAGACTTTCGCTAGTAAAAGACTATAGCTGGATTTCAACTCATATTTGAATGAGTTATTTAATCTTTAAACCTCAGTTGCCTCAGCTATAAAGTGGAGAAAATGTCCAGCCCATTAGATTATTGTGAATATTAAATGATACAATTAACTCAATTCCCACTTAGAGAAAAGAGCAAAAGAAATGTTCTGTATTTTAATTTTGGGCTATGAAATTATAAGTTAAACACAAATAATAGCTTTTTTTGCCCTTCATACATTCAAGTGCTGGTATGACGAAATAAGATTTGTACAGTTACAAGTTTCTAGTTTTTTACACATGTTAGATTTGACCTCAGTTCAAATTCATTCTGAGTGTTGATACTTGTTAAGTTACAGGTTATTTAGCTAAGGGATGAACAGACTTATGACTTTGATGTGATGACTACTCAATGTGTTTAAGGTTGAACTTCATTAAAAAAGAAAAATAAAGAAGTGTCCTCTATTTTGTTAAAGACCAATCTGCACTATAAAAACATGATCTTAACCCTTCCTCTATGAAAATCTTTCTTACAGATAATGATTTTAAATGATATGATTTGTTTTTTGCTTTTGCATAAGAGGTAATTAAAGAAAAAGGACTAGAACACGTTACTGTTGATGACTTGGTGGCTGAAATCACACCAAAAGGCAGAGGTAAGGAATAGAAATTGTGTGAAAGGGAACATGTGTTAAAGACGTGATTTTTTTTCTCTCTCTTGCTGGTTCAGCTCTTCTTTCTTTTTACAAGGAAGAACACCTTTGCAAAATTATTTGGGTACTTCTGTTTCATCATTGGGAAGAGCTATAATTGCCTACCTGCCTCTCTAGCATGATTTTGAGTAACAAGTGAGATAAGAGGTATAAACTGTTCTTGCACTCTAAAACAGTATGCAAATATAAGTTGATACAGTTCTTGAGACATAACTTTTAAAATATGGGATTTTGTAAAGGCAAATATTACAAGAAGCTAAGATTTATAAACTTTATCAGATATGGCCTGAACTCTAAAATATTTAATAATTCAAAGTGTTATCCCAGTCCCTGAGTCATTGCTCTGCTATTTCTTTCCTTATTAAAAATAAACAGCTCCACCTTCTTGAAAGTCTGATAAGAATTTGTTAGCTCTGTAACTTCATGTTCAGGGTGATTCATTTCTCCCTTTAATGCCTTGTTTATAGAAGGCAAAGGAAAAGAAATATATTAACATCAATGTTATGTAATAAATAGTGTCAGGAACCACATTATATTGTTATCTCAGATGGAGCCACATGATTTTCATTTATTTTGAGAAAGTTTTAAGTGGAAGCAGGTAAATTAGATGGCCCATTAGTTGTTTTCTCACACAGAAATACCAAAAAGAATTTAAGCTTAAAAAGTGAAAATTATTGCTAGAGAATACTGGGTCCCCTAAACTGCTGCCTGCTGGGAAGGAGCTAGAGAATCCTACGATCCTTTCCAACTGCCGCCTTAGGCCCGTTCACATTTAGAAAACCTAACTTTTTTCAAGTATATCTTAGGGAAAGGGCGGCGGAGGGCAAGCAGTATGTATTGTTCCCCTCATGAATTTATATTTTGAAATAATTTTCCCTAATTTCTTTTTCTGTTTTTCTTCTGTAATTTATGCTTAATCTATTACATTACTTACGAACTGGTGACACAGCATAGAAATTGTCCTTTGCTTCTCCTCCAACACAGGTGCGTTAGACATTGCAGTCCCTGGTAGTTCCCCTGCTAGAGAATGAGCACATAGAGATAGGGAGAAGAGAAAAATAAATCTTTTCTTTTATGCTCTTAGTCTTCTTGATTGGTAAAGAGAAGTATTTTATTTTTTAAATTGAATTTTTTTAGTGCACAGTTCTATGAATTTTATACACACGTATACATCAATGTAACCACCACCCTAGTGAACTCTCTCAAGCTATCCATTTGTCCTCACCCCCGTCCCTAAGCCCAAGGCCACTGATCTGTTCTCCATCACCATAATTTTGAATAAAAGTATGTTTAATATACATATCACAGTTCCAGTGGACTTGAATTAATTATATAGACTTTATTTCTAGGCTTGAACTAAATATAGAAAGAGGAGTATTCACCTCATTTGGTTTGCGTACCAATTTTTGGAATTCTTTATAGAGATATTGAACTATGTCTGAAGCTTTCCATTTCCTCTGGATACAGCAAATAACATTAGAGGTTTTAGCTAATTCTCTATTGCTTATATTATTTAGTTAATTCTCTTATTTGATAGTAGCCTGAAAAGGAAAAACCATCATGTTGATCTTTTTATTGACAGTTAAAATTTTTAAGAGCAGGGCTTTTCTTTTTTTCATTTTTAGTTTAATACTTTGAATAGCTAATGTAGTCACATGGTTCAAATTCAAGTAATAAAATATAGGAAATATAACCACTGTTGCAGTTTTTGCATCTTTGCTGAGTCAGAGAGTATATGCATTTATTCCTGTAAAATATTGCCAAATTACCTTCCCAAAAATGTCGTACCAGTTTGTGCTCCCACCTGCCGATGGGAGAGTGTCCGTTTCCCCCTCAGTCATGCCAGCACAGTATGTTGTTGACCTTTGGCTTTTAGCCAGTCTGTTTGGTAAAGCTGCTGTCTGAATGTGGTTTTAATCTTTTCCATTGTGAAGTTAAACCCCTCTTGTATTCAAGAACTATGTGTCTCTCCTTTTCTTCATTTCCTTTGCTCGTTTTTCTGTTAGCCTGCTGATCTTTTTTGTATCAATTTGAAGAATTCATATAGTAGAGAGATTAGCCCATTTCTGTGTTTTCCCAGTTTTTGTTTTTTGCCTTTGTTTACAGTAATTTTGACCACGCTTATTAAATTGTTGCTGCGTTTAAGTCAAATTTATCAATCTATTACAGTCTCTGTGCTTAAAAAGGCCTTTTCACTCATAGTTTAAAGAATTTCCCGTATCTTCTCAATGTGCGATGTATTTAGGTATTGGATAGCTCATTCAAATAATGAATTGCAAATGTATTTTATTTTTTCAGATATCTTTACCTATTTTTAATTGAAACCAAGCTTATTTCTGAAATAAATTATAAATAAAAAGTTATAAATGTTTGGATTGGTCTTCCTGAATAAAATATCAAACCTCAAATTGACATACATTAATTGGAATCTTCTTACTCCTATGTTTTTATATTTCAGCCCTGGTACCTGACAGTGTAAAGAAGGAGCTTCTACAAAGAATAAGAACATTCCTTGCTCAGCATGCCAGTCTTTAAGATTGAATTAGATTGTGTTGTTTTGTGGTTTTATTTCTGAAAGTAAAACTTGCCATAAATTAGGAATCGCTTTCCCAAAATAAAATCCTTTTTTGTATGATGGTATACAGTTTTCGGTAATGATGTATACATTGTATTGATTTTTTTCCCTAAATGTGTTATTTTAATAAATATCTCATGAATGAGTTTGAAGTTTCCTTGGATTTTGGAATAAGTGGGACTTTATTAACAATCTACCAGATTTGTTGAGCGAAAAAGTCAGCAAGTAATATAGTTTAAGTATTAAATGTGTGCATATCTCTGTGCTAACAATGGAGGAGAAGCAAGCCGCCTCTCCTTATTGTCTATAGATACAATGTATTTCTCGTTTGAATCCCTATAATATTTTATTTTATAGTACATACCCCATCTTGTACTACAGTTGTCTTATTTCTTATTTGTTATAAACTCTTGAGAGTTAGGACTGGGTCTTACTCATCTTTATGTGCCTTCCTTATTCCTCAAAGAATTTACCATCCTATTGGAAGAGAGAACATTTGCAAACTGGCTCCATACCAACCAAGCTCCTCTCACATATTCTACTCATCTGAACTTTGAAAGCAGAAACTCTAAATTGCATCCCCACATACTAAGGTCAAGAAAGAACTTAATGGGAAATAATCTTCACCCATAGCTTTACTCTGACATCAAGATTGCCAAATCCAATGGACTCTTGTCTGTACCTATGTGACCTCTGCTGGAAATGAGAATGTTGACCGTCCTGCCACTTGGAACTTTCCTCCCACTCCTCATATCGTTTATTCCTACCACTGGAAGTTCCTTCTGTTTCTTGTGGAGTACCTTTTGCTGTATGGGACTTGAAATAATGGTGTTTCCTTAGGGCTCTCACCTGGGCCCTCTGCCTGACTAATGATATACTTTTCCTGGGCAAATCTCAGGAAACTTGGGTCGGACCATGGCTTCAAATACTAACAGGTTAATAAACGGTAAATTTCATCACCAAACCAGACTTCAACCCATTCTCCACACTCATATACCCAACTGCTAATGGATCAGCTTCCTGGGATGTTCTATGGACACCTCAAACTGACCACACTTAAGATAGTGATTTTTTTCTCCTCCAGTAACTACCCTACTGTATCTCTTGTGAGTGTTACTTCCCAGACATGCAGACTGCCCGAGGAGCTTGTTAAAATACTGATTCAGAAGGTAAGAGGTGTGGCTCAAGATTGTATTTCTGACAAGCTCCCAATCCATGCTTGCGCTGCTGGTTGAGGGCCACTTGGAGTGTGGCGTGGTAGTAAATTGTCCACCCCCTGCCCTGTAACTGCCTTAGTTCAAGCCCAGATTAGTGTAATAGTCTCCTAGTAGTTCATTGTTTTAGTTGCTCCACTCCCAGCGTCTTCCACACTGTTGCCTAAGTGACCTTACTAAAATTTAAACCTGGTCATTTTATTCTACTTGAAATTCTCAGTGGCTTTTCTTGGTTTGCAGAGTAAAATTCAAGCTCAGCCATAATAGCACCATGGCCCTTTTCATCTGACATTTACTTATCTGTCTAGTTAGTCTAAAGAGTCCCTAAGAGTACCAAGTTGTTTCATCTCTAAATACCTTTGAAAATCCATCAAGCTAGAAAGCCTACTTGGCCTTCGAAATTCTGCTTGAGTTTATTGAAACATTCGGACATTCCTATTTGATTTAGATTTTCCACCACTTTTTCTATAAGTACCTGTGCAAAATTTCAACAGTAGTTCTAGAACTTTTGCATGCATTTCCTGGAGGGGAGAAAACATAAGTTTTTTTTGTTTGTTTTTGCTTTGTATGATACTTGTGGGTGAATGGACAAAATAATGAATGGACATGAGAGCACAAAAGAAGCTAACAATACAATTGAGTGTATTTGAGGAATTATTTTACATGAATTCTTGATTCAGCTTCCAGAGATATAATTTTATCTTTCTGATGAATTTGCATTTTAACTGTAGTCTTTGAACCTACTGGGCTTATTTGTGTAAAATTTTGAACCTAAGATACACACGATCACAAAATCTACCCCAAAGAGAATTTTGTTTTCTTGGATTTCATAAAGCAATTATCTAAAGTTAAATGATAGTTATATTCATTATTCTGCTACCCATTATCAAAAAGGGAGCAGATGGTACATAGGAAATGTTAAAAACGGGTAGTGTTTATTTCATAATACTGTATATGAAAGCAAACCAAAAATTGCTCATAGAGATACTATTTTAAAGTTCAAAACAAAATATGAGAAAATGGAAAGTTATGAAAATATTTTCAAGTGAAACAAAAAATAGTTGAGTTGAAAATACCTTATAGCAATTCCAAATACTTAAGAGCATAGCTTTAAAATGATAGTGCCGAGAACTCTCCCCACCTCTCGGTTTTTTGGACATCTTAGAAATGTCTTGTAGTTTGCATCTAGAACCACTGATATCTTTCAAATAAACCAACTTTGTGAACATCTTGACTCACATCATTGATTTATGTTGACTAGAATACATTCTTTAAAAGTCATGCACCCTTTCATGCTCAGTGTTGGAAATTTGATAGGAGATTACTGTTACATGACAGCACCGGGTGAGTAAAATACTGATGAGGATTACTATACGCTTCTCATGTACAGGATTAAAGAAGATTCAACTAAATTATTTAGGCAATCACTTTGCTTTGGCATTCCAAGTGTGTCATTTGGCTGAGCAGTGCCAAGCCAGGGCCTGTGTAATGCTGGGGACTGGTAATTGGATATGGAACTTTTCATAACCTGATAAAAAGCTCCATTCAACTCAAGGGAGTTGTGACAGCTGCTCAGTAGCTGATGTTGGAAATGACCCAATGTGTGCATATGTGTTTTAACCCTTGTAAATCACTCTCATGTTATTCAGTGACTTCGTAAAACCCCTCATATTGACCATTAGAAACCACACAAAAGTCATTGGATGAATCCACCAAGAAAGCTAACAGATGCAATCAGACAATTCGAGTTCTAGTCTCATCTATAACACTGAATTATCAGGTAAGACTGACTCTTCTGCCTCAGTTTCCTCATCTGCATAGTAGATCTGATAATGCTAACCTGGCAAGAATTAAAATAATTTGAAAACAATACTATTAATAGGATAGTCATAAAAGCCATATGGATAATCAGAAAAAGCAATATGGATTCATGTTGCTTCTCAGAAGAACTCTAGGAATATGTATTCACTCTGTGTTTTCTAGATTTATATAGAAAGATGAATTAAACGTGTGGAAAAGAGCTGCTTTTATTTTTCAGAAATTTCTAGATACTATTAATTACCATAAGAATTCCTACAAAAATAAAGATGACCAATGTTACGTGCTTTGAATTGAATAACTATCACTATCATAGCACTTAGGAGGAAAGATTGAAATTGATTTGTACTCATTTTTACCCTCATTCTGTTATGAACTCTGACACGGACTGTCACAAAGGAGTTTATCTTTTGATCCTATTTATCTTTTTGATTGTCTTTTGATGCTAAGTGCCTAACAGAGTTAATTCTTGATAAATATTTTTAAATA